CCGCGATAGACTCTTTTCGAACTTTACTCAGCAACAACTATTTAATACCACTGAACAGTGAAAAGTGTAATAGAATTGAGGGAAATAGAATTGAGGGAATTTCTGTAATTAAACCCATACTTCAGTGCCATCTTTGCTCCATGAAACGCTCGGTCGTGGATAACCTTTGACTTTGCAACGAAGAATCGCCTCACCATTCTCAGTTGTTGTACATGATTTGAGCAGCTGGACAAATTCAGGTGGTTGCTCGGATTTAGCTTCTTCAAGTGTAGGAGCAACAGTGGCTGAAATAGTGAATGAACTACACAGTGCACTGAAATAGTAGAACAAGTAGCAGCATACGCCTTGCAAAGCTTTAAAGCAATTTGTAAATAGCTGGCTTATGCATCATGCAGTAACAGCACATCGAGGGATTCAAACAAGTCACCTGCAATTGCCAGTTTGCCTTCAGTATAGGTTGATTGTGATGCATCAGACGCCGTACACCGATATGTTCCAACTTGTTGCGGACTTAACTCATTTATTGTTAGCGTCTGAATACCTTCCACTGAGCTTTCAATTACGGCTTCTGACGGAACTGATTTACCATCTTTTGACCATTTCACTTTTACATCATCTCTTGCAACATTAAGTGCACATTCTAATTTGGCTACGTTTCCTTCTTCAACCACAACATCTTCTATCGGTTTTATGAAATTAATCACTCCCGATTCATCTTCTATATTTTCTTCTTGTGCCGTGGCGTAATTGAGCTTTAGTTCAGCTTCAGTTGATGCTTTTCCCAATCTGTTGACTGCCTCGCAGCTGTAGGTACCAATATGTTCGATGGTGGCATTCATCACCTTAAGCTTGAACAGTCCCTTCTCCAATTCTTCTTCAATCATAATATTCTCACTCTCACCAATCTGTTTACCATCTCTGAACCATTTGATTTCAGGTTTCGATTCAACGTTTACACGGCATTCAAAATCAGCCGTTTCGCCTACATTTACCGAATGACTTTGAAGTGGCTCAATGAATATCGGTTTAGTCTCCTCTTCTGGCACCTTCTCGAAGCCATATTTAGGAAATTTCACTTCAGCACTTGTTTCAGCTTGTCCAGCCTCATTTGATGCAACACAAGAATATGTGCCAATATTTTGCTGGTTCACTTCGGCAATAATAAGTGTGTGTTGTCCATGTTCATCATCTTTCTTTATGAACTGATTATTATCAATGTGAATCTCGTTACCATCTTTAAACCATTTCACATCAGGTTCAGGCTTGCCTATTACACTACAACTCAGCTGCACTTGCTCGCCCTTTTCTACTTGGAATTCATGCAATTGCTCTTCAAATACAGGCGCAACAATTAGTTGTTGTACAGCAAAATGAGCTTTTGTTTCACTCACACCGGCTTTATTAGCAGCTTTACAGGAATACGTGCCGCTATCTTGCAGTGTTACGTCCTTAATAAGGAGTGTATGAGAGTGCTCATCATCTTTGCTAATCAAATGAACGTTGTCGATGTTCACTGGTTCACCGTCACGGAACCATTCAACTATTGGTTCTGGTTTACCTTCCACAACTACTGACAACTTGGCACTTTCTGCTTCATTTACAGTTAATTCTTTAAGGTCATCAATAAATACTGGTGATTGCAGCTCGGACTCCACTGCAAGAACTGCTTTTGTTTCATCACTTCCTCTTGCATTCGTTGCCTTGCACGAGTAAATACCAGCATCTTCAAGACGAGCATCTTTGATGATAAGAGTGTGTTCACCTCTTTTCTCCCCTTGCTTGGCTATCAAATGTTCATTATCGATATTTACCGCTACCCCATTTTTGAGCCACTCAACTTCTGGCTGAGGTTCACCTTCTACAATGACCGACAATTTTGCCATCTCCGATTCCATCACATTAACTTCGCCAAGCCTTTCACTGAATATTGGTGCTCCTTCTTCCTGTTCTACGACGAAATTTGCTTTAGTTTCATCGGAACCACCTCTATTAGATGCCTTACAAGTATAAACACCAACGTCCTCAAGCAGAGCATGGTCGATAATGAGAGTGTACACGCCATTTTCATTCTTCTTTGAAATCACGTGTTCATTATCAATATTGACTGGATATTCATCTTTGAACCATTCGACGTGTGGCATTGGCTTACCACTGCTCACCACCTTCATCTCAACCCTTTCACCAATCTTCACCTTCTGATCTGCGAGGCATTCTATGAAATGTGGCGCTTCAACACTTTCTAAGACAGTAACATTTGCTGCACACATTTCTTTGCCGGCTGCATTAGTGACCTCAATAGCATATTCACCAGTATCCTCTAAACGAGCGTTTTTAACGGTTAAAATATGAGCACCATCTGGCTGATTGATAATAGTGGCTTGCAAGTCAACTTCTTCAATCGGTTTTCCATCTTTGAACCATTTTACTTCTGGTTCAGGTCGTCCACTCACTTTCACTTCGATACGCAATTCTTCGGATTCATTGATGGTTCTTGCTTTGAGTCCTTGTTCAATTTTAGGTCGTACTTTCTCCGACTGTTTTTCTTTCACTTGTGCTTCACATTCGACAACGCCCACTGCATTCGTTGCAGTCGCCAGGTATTTCGTGAAATCCTCTGGTTTCGTTTCATCAATAACCAATCGCCAGTATGTATTTGAACGATCGTGTTCAATAGAGCAATGATCGTTTGAAACAAGTCGCTTTGAATCAACAAAGAACTGCACTGTTGGTTGAGGCGCACCTTTCACCGCACACTCTAACACAAGCTTATCACCTACATTTATTTCCTTCTCTGTCATTGTGTGAGTAAATTGTGGTGCTTCAGCTGAAAGCGAAACCTTCATAGTACTTCAAATTTGAAAGAGAAACAATCGATTTATTTACTCATCGCCGGCACTTACCCGAAATCTCATATCGCTCGTACGCAACAAATCAATGAACTTGAACGAATGCTCTCCTCTTTCTATCAAAAACAAAAAATGTTATGCCAACACACCTTGTACAGTCAGTTCAGCTTCTGTTTGCGTTTTTCCAACTTCATTCTCAGCTACACATACGTATTTTCCGCGATCATCAAAATCTGCACCTATGATCACGAGACGTTGAACACTGCCATCTGATTCGATTACCGTTCTTCTTGCTTCTTCAACCACTGGTATCTGTAATCCCATCATCTGATTGGAACTTACAACTCGTACCGCCACTTCATTGAAACAACATTACCTAATTGAAAGTGAACAATAAAGGAATTAATTGTTACGCAGTACGAAGAATAACTACACAAAAACCTTGTCATGAAACCATGTAACGGTCGGTTGGGGCTCTCCGTTTACTTTACATTCGAAGACTATTTTGTCAGCTGCTCTAACTGTCTTGTTTTGAAGTGATATGATGAACTCAGGTGCTGCTTTCACCTCCTTCGTGATCGTCTCTGAACATTAAGTTCATGGTTAGTGTATACATTGACAAACAAGAAATACTTACAAGCTTAACGAGCTCTACAATACGACATAGGTCTCATTCCGAAAGGTGGGGGTAAGTTCGTGACCATTCCTCGTTAGTTCACAGTGAATCTCAACAATCGCTATCTTCAGTTCTTTCACACTTTCATTCGCAATTCAAATGCTTTAAAAGATCTAGAAAAGAGTGATGAAGCAACGAATAAGATAAATACTTACCAAATACATTTAGTGTTGCTTCACACTTGTCACAACCAGAAACATTCTCAACCAGTACTTCATATCTACCAGCATCTCCTGCTTCAACCTCATCAATTATCAACTCGCTCGTAATAAATCCTTCCAATGTCCTAGTTTGAACACGAATTCGTGCTATCAGTTCGATTTCTTTACCATCTTTGAGCCTGTCAATGTTGTGAGAATTTTAAAAGTTCGAATAAACTCAATTTTTATACTGGTCAAAATGCAGCTGAATTGAACAAACGTAAAAAAAGGTAAACGAACCATTTGCAACAAACTCCTTTTGTGTCTGGAACAACACATTCAAAGATAGCTTGATGCCCTTTAGCAGCTCTTGTATCCTTAATTTTCGTGATAAACTTCGGTGCCATAACTGGGGTTGGCGTTCGATGCATTTCCTCAGTCAGTGACTCTTGTTCGGTTCCTTAATCAATCGTTAGCAATTAACAGTCGACATCAACATCTAATGCATAAGATATAAAAGTGCTCCTCACTCAACTATGTACGTTTAACAACTCACCTTGTTCTGTAGCATCCTCGAAGTCGAGTACTTCCTCCGCAAATGCTTCAGATTCTGATTCAGAGAACATATCTGATGTGTACGTCTAAAGTTGAACGTGTAGTGAACACTAATTACATAACAACAGATCATTGATTAGGCAATCAAGAAATATTCCGAGCATCTTTGCATAGAAATCTTTACGCAGTACGAAACATTAACTCTGCATCTCTATGTTCGCCGAAACAATTATCGAATTAAAATTTGATGAAGATAAATAATTCTCTTCGTTATTACCGTTAGCTGTATGGAAAAAGCGACGTTGGGGAAGAAATAATTCACTGATATATGTGATAATGGAGAATCATGAACTCGTAATCAGTTGCTGATCGAATGAATAAATAAAACATAATACTAACCCCCATAGATGCCGTACACGACACTTCACCCGCTTCATTTTCTGCTTTACAGATGATTTCACCGATATGTTTATCTGGTTTAAAACTTTTGATAATTAATGTGGATGTATTATCTGTTGTTGTGATACTGATTTCCTCGCTTTCTGTCACCTCTTCATTGTTAATGAACCACGTCAGTTTTGGAACAGGATCGCCGGTGAAGATCACCTTCAAAGTATTGTATACAAAACTCAACTGATTCATCTTTAAGTATTGATGGATGTTCTCGATGAACTGTTTAACATTTCTGAATATTGAAATATCACATTGAAATGCCTATTACATCAATCAGTGTCAACAAAACCAAAGATGAAAGGAAATAGTCACCTTATGTGTGACTTGAGATCCAGGACGTGCTCTCACATTACTTAACCATTCCAAGAAATCAGGTGGTTCACCACGTGGAAGGACCAGAAGCATAGCTTCGGAAGATGCCTTTCCAAACTCATTAACCGCTTCACAAACCACCTTAAAAATTTCGCATTTACGGAAACAAATTAGAAAGCTCAATGAATTGCTACAATTAGTTTGAAATTTCACCTTTCCCGAGTAGTCACACGTGATATCCTTGATAGTAACAGTGTACGTTCCTTTCTCAGCATGGATCTTTATATTTTGTGATTCTTCCAATTTTCTTCCATTTACATACCTTCAAGGCAATATGAAACTAGAATCTGTTCTTTTCGAACACTTGAAACGACCAATAATGAGTCAATAACATGCGCCCAATTAATTGCTACTGCGTTTCATCGTTAATGAATACGTCATGTAGTAGAGTAATGGTAAGTATAGCGACAGAAGGAACGAAATGCAACTAAGTACCATGTTACGACAGGTGTTGGTTCACCAAGGAGAACAGCCTTCAACTTCAGCGTATCACCTTCACGACATGTTGCATCGCAAAGGGTTGTTTCAAATTCGACTGGAACTGGTGCAACCACGTTGACTTTACCTTGAATTGTTACTTCGCCCATTTTATTGTATGCTGTACACTTGATAGTACCAGTCATATCTTTCGTTGCACCATGAACTGTCAGCGAATATACTCCATTTTCAGACGTCATTTCTGTATCTTCTGTTGCACAAACCAACTGAATTTAACAATGAATATCACATCAATATACACATGTGATTTATAAGTGATGACGACAGATTCATTTTGCTATACTGGGAAGAACACAATACCTGATCGTTGATATACCACTTAGCAAAGGGAGTTGGATCACCAGTAATAATCACTTTTGTTTTGAGAGATTCGCCTTCTGTTACAATTATTGGTGCAATTTCAGATAAAAACGCTGGTTTTGCCATTGGACGTTTCTTCTGTATTCCGATTGAAGCAGAGCATTCTATAAGTTTAAAAAATTCAATAAAGCTCTCATTTGACATAAATCTAACATAAAATGAACGGTATCCAGGTACAAACCACTCAGAAAATAAATCTATGATGAATCGCATCACTTCTCAAATGAACTGACCAGCTGAACCAAAAATGTTTTCTGCGCGAATTGTAATCCTCGACTTGTCGCTCATTTGCGTCGAAGCAATCTTTAATCGCAGAATACCACTATCTTCTTCACTTACCACAAATCGATTATCACTTAATGCTATTCCATCACGAAGCCAACTGATTGTTGCTTTCGGTTTCACCTAAAACTACTTACTAATAACATCAAAATGAAATTTATATCAACTTTAACTTGGAAATACTCTCACCTGAGCGAGTTGTGCCTCCATCATTAATTCATCTCCCTCCACAACGAGGCGATCTTCAAGATTTTTGCTGAACGTTGGTGCTTGACCAGTCATTTTCACTGTCATTGTAGCATTCTGCTTTTTCAATCCTACCGAATTTCTAGCTTCGCATGATATTTCACCGCTCTGTTCAGGAGTAACTTCGTACATTGTCAATGTGTGCGTCCCATCAGTCTTTGTAATCACCACGTTACTGAACATTTAAACAAATTTTCATTCGATTATATGTGATCACTATTATTCTTATCATTATTATTATTATATGTATTGTTGTAATCGCAACACTCATCACTGATAATAGATAGAACGCCACAATATATTCCATATAAATAATCGACATGAAATTCACGCTCTATATTTAGGACAAAGTGATTATTCAAAAAAGGCACTAAATCTATAACAGGTTAACAGAATCAAACTCAATAAAATCGCAAGGTAACTATGACAAAATAATTACCTGCTTGATTCAAGGGCTGTACCATTCAGGAACCACTGTATTTCAGGCTCGGGCACTCCCTCAACATTTATCGCAAATTTGACCGTATCGCCTTCATTCACCTGTCTGCTGTCCATATCAGCCAAAAACCTTGGTGGCTCTTTTCTTTTTTCCACTTTCAGTGTTGCTTTTGCTTCAGCCATACCCGATGAATTCTCAGCGCGAACAGTTACCTAAAATGAATTTATTTTCGTTTAATTACTTCTACAGAATTCTGCGCTTATCCAAATTTTATGAACAACTTACAAATAACTGATGGAATATTTTCATTTTCTTAGTGTAACAATACGAATTTGAATGGTCAAATTAGTACCTTCCCAGATTGGCTCTCAACTGGTTTCATTATTCTTATCGACGTCTTTCCAGTTGATTCTTCATACTTGACATGAAATTCTTCCGAAGATTCAATTTTTGTCTCATTAATAAACCAGCTCACAGTTGGTGTTGGTTTACCAGTAACAACTGCACTGAATTTCACCGATGTTTCTTCAACCGTTTCATGATCTTGAGGTGATTTGACGAATTCGGGTTTTTGAGTCGTTTCTTCAATGTTTATTTTAGCTTTCGATACACTTGATCCATGAATATTTTCTGCTTGCACAATCAAAGTTCCGTTCATTGACGATTTTGCTTCTAATATTGTTAGATGATGGCTTCCGTCACCTAGAACACTTTGAAATCAGTTGATAAGAAATAAAAATGAATTTGAAATGCGTTAATGTAGGGATAAGTATGGATTCGTTTCTCGTTTCATCTTCTTCGATTATTTATTAGTGGAATGTTTTCTGAAGATACATCATATATCTACCCAGGCTCGTAATCAACGGGAGGGGAGGCTTGGCATCTTTCCCTCCCTCAAATCTTTTCAGGGTCCAATTTTTTGAAATAATAAATATAATGCCTTACATCACCATTCATCATGGAAATTCAATTAACACATATATTACAAGCAGGCTGGGTTGTTAGCGTTTTCTTTGCTTAATACATCATTCCTCCCAAAAATTGAAACAACCTCTACCCCCCCCCCCCCNCCCTCCAAATATTATGTTCCACCTATGGGTTTGCATTTACTAAACTAATTGCGATCCCCTCACGTGAAAACAATCGCCTTTCATCTCCTAGCTATATCAAATTCAATGTATTGCAACTATATAAGAGACAACTAATAAACAACTAATTGACACTTCATCCGAAGAATTTACATGAAGATGAGCAAACGAATTATTATATACAGCAGCTAAAGTTTGCATGATGCATGAAACAAGCGCATATCTCGAGACAAATGCAATAAACACAACTATTACCGTGATCGACAATCTGAATATTCTCGGTGTTCGTCAATTCCTCATCATTCAACAGCCATCGTACCTTCGTCTCGTGGCTAGTTCGCTCAATAGTAACATCCCAACGCAAAGGCTCTCCTTCAGAAACGCTACGATCGATGAGCTGTGTTTTAAATATTGGCTTTCTAACGTCTGCTTCGACCTACAAATATATTTACTAAATACATAATTCTCAATTCGTACGATAAGGATGAAAAATGAACGAAAAAGGAGCTGAAAGTTTAGCAGCAGCGTTTGCATGCATTTGTTCAACAAAAAAACGGAACAGAGAAGTGAGTCGATCGATGCATTGAGGCAACCAACCTTAAGAACGCAACACCTCGAGTATATTCCACCTGCATTTTCAGCTGTAACACAAATTTCACCAGCATCTTTCACTGTGGTTTCTTTGAAGCTTAATGTATGTTTACCATCTTCACATTTCAATATCATATTTTCATGAATTCCGTATTCAATTACTTGTTCATTTATTTTCCATTCCACCGACGGTTCTGGTTTTCCAGTGATGTCGCATTTGAACTCCGCTTTTTCACCTTCTGTGATCAGCACTGAGTCTGGCCCTTCAAAAACACAGACGTTTGCAATAATTAGATTGAACTATTGCTAAATTCAGTTGAAAGTGATCGAAAAATAGGTCAATGAGTGAACCATTAAGAATTTCAGGTGCAACAGGTCTGTCATTAACGAATAAATTTGATTTGCTGCTTGTTTGACCAGCAGTGTTTGAGATCGTTACGCATATTTCACCAGCAAATTCCTTCTTCACTTCGCTCATTTCAAGAACGCTTCCATTCTCGTTTTCAATTATTTTAATGCCGTTCATCCCATCCTGATAATTAAATCAAGGTTAGCAATGATATAATCTCTGATTTATATTCAATCAATTGCTAAAGATAGATATGCTCGAATATACATACATGAATAACAGTTCCGTTGATAATCCACTCGATTTTTAAAGCATTTGATGTGGTAACACTAATCTTTAGTCGATCCCCTTCCGTGACCGTTATATCCGTGAGACCTGCTAGTATCTGTGGCAGATTGGTATGCTCTTCTGATGTTATCAAATTTGCACTCGTTTCAACAGTTCCAGATGAGTTTTGACCTCTAATGCTAACAACACCTGCATATTGGGCCGAATCAAGCGTCAGAGAGAATTCGAAATTCTCACTTTGATCGATTTTTACTCCTGAATTTTTCCATCAAACGGTTACATTTAAAGTTCCGTATTGATTTTCAAACTGTACAATCCTATTATTCAATTAACGTTTCAATTGTGAACTTTTAAGCATACCTGCACACAAGTGTAATCATTAAATTATTCATATGCAATCAAGGAAAGGGAATATTAAGTGTTACCGATGACAGAAGTAAGAATAGCGCAACTTCAAAATATGAAATTAAAAACCTGGGAGAGTATTGTCGAGTAACTTCCCATTATTGAACCACTGAACAGATTCCACAGGTGCGATAATCGCTTTAAAATGAGCCCTATCACCCGGTTTCACATACTGATCACTCAGTGGTTTCTTAATGACTGGTAACTGTGATTCGTCAACTGTTTTGGTAATATACGTTTCGGTGATCTTTTCGGTTATCAACTTCCCATCTTCACTGAGAGATTCTTTGGTTGTTGTTGTTGTTATCGTTTCCGCACTTTCACTTATCGTCTCAGTTTTGAGTGTTTCTTCGGTCTTGACCTTTCGTTCTTCAACCGTCAAACGTGCTCCGCTCTCATCAACACCGAGTGAATTTTCAGCAATGACTGTGATTACTGATGAATTAAACTTATGCGTATCAATAATCAGTACTGATATATTACTATCAGCCAATAATTCAATACGAGCACCATCAGTTGAAGCCCGCACTTTACGTCCGTCAACTGACCACTGATAAACGGCGTTTGGTACTGCGTCCGCATGAGCTTCAAAACGCACTTCTTCACCTCGTTCAGTTGTGATGCTTTTCAGTGCCTTATCGAATTTAGGTGCACATGGTTTTCGAGTGATTTTTAAACTCGATGAACATTCGGCCTGACCCGCTGAATTCTCGGCTATACAACGTAATATTCCGTTTTGTTTCAATGACACATTATGCAACTCTAACTTGCAGCTACCATCAAACTCCCGTATATGAATGTTCTGCAAATAAAAAATAACGTTTCTATTCGCTTGGATCCGATACTGAATTTATGAAGAAACTGATAGAGCGGAAGCATAAAGTATCTTCAGCCAATGACCACTGCAGTAGAGTTGATTTGATAATGTTGGTAAACAATTTTAAAAAGACATTAACGTGTGATTATTCGCACCTCTGATTCCTGCAACTGTTCGTCATTCAAAAACCATTTGAGGTTCTCTTTTGGTTCTGCATCAACACGTACTTCAAACACAGCAGTTGATTCTTCAACACTGCATACATCTGTTAATCGCTCCAAAAATTCAGGTGCTTTCGGCTTCTTTTCCGCTGTCAAAACCACCAACTTCGCTTTCGTTTCGAAACGTCCCACCGAATTTTCAGCTCTCAAATAAACCATTACATAATAACATGTGCTGTTATGAGACGTGCAACAACATTTTAAAATTTTTTATGGGGCGCGAGCGAAAAAAGGTTGAGAACCACTGATTTATAGTATATTCAGTGATATTACTCACTGACTGTTTTATGCAATTAATCAGCCCAACCGCGATAATGTGTTAGTTAGGCGAAATAAAAATATGCACCTGCACAGCACTGTCCCCGCATACTGAGTTGAGTCGAGCGTCAATTTATAATCATTTTCGTCGATCGTCTCAATCGTAACTCCTTGAGCATACTTATCCAGTTTTTGACCATTCAAAAACCAATTGACATCAGCTTTTGGGTTTGCCTTTACAGATGTTTCGAATATAGCATTTTCGCCATACTTCACTGTCTGTAAACATAACGTTTCTGCTTCAACTTTCAATCAACATTAGTAGCAAATGCCATTTGTTATCTTTCGCAGTATGTCATCATGTCATTTTGTCGCTCATATGGATGATTGACTGAATAAAGATGAAACCTGGTTTTCAATGTCCTTAATGAAAATAGGTGCCGTTCGACGCTCTTCTTCAACTGCTTCAACAACAATACGAGCACGGCTTTCAGCTTGCCCCGATTCATTAATCGCTTTGCAGACTAATTCACCGTCAAGCTCGGCACTCACTGATCCAACCTCCAGTCTATATACACCACCACCTCGTTCAAAAATGTTAATACCATTTTTACCAGAAACGATCTGAAAAGTACATGTTGCAACAATACATTGCGGTTTGAACTTGAAGTGAGTTTTGCCTCAAAAGGTATTCAATCAGTAAAAAGCCAATCTTATGAATATCAATTCTTCGAAAAATCATCTCTCCCAAAACTATGTTAACACTGCGCAATGTGGTGTGTATCTCACCGCTCATCATTAAGCCTCGCAACCGCTGGATTAGTACCACCCAGAATCTTGTACTTAGACAATATTTTGGTACATTTAAAGTTATTGTGGCATTGTTACACCTGTGGCATAATATAATTCATTTGTCACATTCGGCAAGGTGCAAACCTCGGAATGTACTTCAGCATCTTATAAGCACAGGTCTTGACATAAGCCTTTGAGTAAACCTGAGTCTGAATTCAGCTTGATTCGAGCCACTGAGGCTATAATACACCATTATGGTTTCTCAGGTTTTGCTATGAAAACTCATCAGCGTCCTTCTCAAACAAACGCAATATCATTGTTATGAAATGCAATCAGTAAAATAAATACCTAGACCACACACAACAAACATTAGCTTGGGTGTTAAAAGATAACTTTGACTGCGTAATCTACAACGATGTTCTTGATAAGAGCATGCCATCTTGTTACGTCATTATTAACGCCTAGTGCACAACAGCTGTTTCTATTCACGATCAATGTTCAACAAAGTTTACAGCTAACCCTCACATATGATTCATCACAGTTGAACTATTCATGAAATTTTCATGCATATCTCAAATGCATTCAGATTGGTGTGAAAAGGGCTCTTGTCAATTGAGTAATAATGGTAACATCGTCAGCAACGAAAGTAATAAGATTAGTAATAATAATGAACTGACCTCGTTACCATTGATTGAAAATGATACTTTTGGATCTGGGAATCCACTCAATTCAATTTCAAACATTAAAGTGTCACCCTCCATAACCATTTTATCTTCTAATGGTCGTATGAAATTAGGTGGTGTGGGTGCTACTCGAACTTTTAAACGACCATCGCAAGACTGAGATCCCAATCGATTCGTTCCCTTAAAATCGTGATTTTATTAATGCTGTTCTCTATTCACTTACGATAAATAACAAAGTATTTTCAGCATTCAAAATCCGTCGTCGCGATAAACCCACAGTGAATACCTCTAACTCATATGCAATCCATATTATTTCGCAAATAAGCTCTTTATATCGTGAACAATTCATTGACAATTATCAGTTATAATGAAGAAGTATAATATAATTTACTTGACACGTTACTATTCCATCGAAATGACGAGAAACATCTTGTATTGTAATTATACAAATACCATCTTCACTAATGAATTTAATTTTGTCGGATTCTGAAAGCGGAATCCCATTCACCAACCATGTGACCTGAAAATGTTTTATTAATTGAATTGCTATCACTCAATCCCATTTCCTTTATTAATAGTAACTGTATCAGTGCAAGTAATAATGATCAATTAAAATTAGATAATGAGAGCAAAACTAAAGTGTAAACAATAACCTCAGGGTTTGGATCACCCGTAAGGATGGCTTTAAACCGAACTGTATCACCTTCATCACACTCCACGTCTTCAATTGTTGCCTGATAAACAAAATGGATAAGAATGATGCAGTCACATTCTAATAAATATCTAATAACTGTGATATCAACGAAATAGACAGATACTAACTTGAAATTCAGGCGCAACATGGTTCTTGTCGGGATCTGCTTGTACAGTAAGTTTAGCATTTGATTCAGCTGAACCGTACTCGTTTTTGATTCGAACTGTATAGATTCCTGTGTCCTCGGGTTGCGCATCTCTAATTTCGAGTTTCGCATTTTGTCCATCGTACTCTAATCTAAAATCGTGCGATGGTCGCAATGGTTGTTCATCGATCAACCATAAAAGCTCCGGCTCTGGCCAACCCTCTACCTGAAATGAATCAACTAATAACTTTGTTTCTCGACCCCTTTCCTTTCCTCCTAAATACCAAACTCAAAGTTACTCTCGTGAAATCATTTAGAAGTCATAATCACAGGTTACGATGGACGGAGTCCCAGGCTTCAGACACTCTTTGGACAACAGATCCCTTTGTTACACAACTGCATTGCATACGTCCATGCAATTCTATTTTAGACAACAGATACATAATGATGAATGTACACCAATTTTACCTCACATTCAAAGCTTGCTACTTCTCCTTCTTTAACTTCTTGATCTTTTAAAGTATTTACAAACGCAGGTGGCGCGGCCTCCTTTTCAACTGAAATTTTTGATTACGGTTACTTGTTTCACGAAAAAGTTCTTTTGAATGCTGAACTGTGTTAATTTTCATACAAATTCACTTCAGTATTCATAAAACAAATGTGAACAGAACAAATAAAAAAATAGTTTGTCGCGAATAATATGTGTTCATAATAAAGCAACCTTTAAGTACTCTAAAGAATGCAGATGTTGATGCCTGCCCATACTCGTTCGTCGCCATACACGTGTACCGACCAGTATCTTCAATTTTAACCGGATCTATTGTTAATGCGAAGAAACCGTCATCGTCCGAATAGAACGTATGTCGTTCGTCTTCATGAAGTAACTCATCGTCTTTGTACCTTCAATTGACCACTTTCATCTTCTCAACTTTGCACGTCAGAAGCTAGTAGCCGTCAAGCAAATACTTTTGTTCAGTTACCATGTAATATCGGGCAAGGGGTATCCTGTCACTTTGAGGCACATTTTCGCAGAAGATTCTTGCAGTGTGCGAAATCCATATTGAGTGCGAGTTACTCGCGTGCCTTGCATATCCAGTGTTGTACCAGTAGTAGCTGAAAGTGATGCTTATTCAGTGCTTCATTCTGACAATCGTTCGCATTATTTGTGATGAAATCGCTTACTCCAATCAATTGAGCTACTTCCACCGCTGTATAAGCTGGTCGATGATCCGGTTGGAGAAATCGCTGGAGGCGATTTGATCTTCTTTCGAGGTGGTCCTTCTTCGGGACCTTAAGAGAGCTTTCCCATTAATAAACGAGCTAATCAGTTGAGTGAATGCTATCTTCATCTATATTTTGATGATATTCTGCTAGCAAACTGCATTTATTACATTATTCTATTCATCCCGTTTTCCATAACGACAAATCAAGTATCATATAAAATTTAGAATACAAATTAAACGAAGTACTTATAATATCGAATTATGTATCAATTCACTTTCAACTAGTTTTGTTGCGTGTTTTTGTTGCAACACCGATGCAGCTGAATCAGACAGAATATCGAAAAAAACTAAATAACTGAACAAAATTTAACAGAATATTTATTTTATGAAATGATGATATGATGATATCAGGCTGCTCACTGAAACACTCCATATTTCTGACGTGAACTCAACAACAAAATTGATTTCAGCTTTTAATAAATTGAAAGTGATGGACTGAAAAGCTATTGATTCCGTGAATGGAATAGATGAAAAAGAAATGAAAACTTTATACCATTGAAATAACTGCTCTTATGTGATAGAGTTGAATATTCACTAAATTCGGATCTGATATCGCTCATATTCATATCAAATTCAGTGGTTTCTGTTTCAATATCTTGCTCAGATGCTTAAAATAAAATTATATAAAAATGAAATTAATGCTTACACCATGATGGATCAACAAGTTCCAAGCCTCCTTCTTCAGTATCAGTCAATTCAATAATATAGAAACAGCGTATAACCATTATTAATGGGTATTGTTGTTGAGATGAATACAAAATAGGGTGTATTAGAGTTGCATTCGAGAAGAAAGAGGGAATAGTTTAAGGTGAAGCCATATGAGGTGATTAAAATAATAGGACAAATAAGTGATATTGCATGAGTGAAGCAGATGAGCGAGACTAAGTCAACGGGAGAGGATGATGTGATCGGTTGCAAGCAGTTAGGCTAGTGCTTATACGAGTGCAGCTGATGGATTGCGAGTTGATCTGGAGCTGAAGCTTAAGTTGAATGCTAAATGCTGACAGGTGCTGCTATATCCCATCCCATCCCGTGCTCTCGCATCAACAAAACATAATTAACTTTACAACACACATATTTTTACTTCGTTTGTTTACTTACACTCTCTTCTCCACTTCTCATTCCCTCAGCAATACTTCACTTTATTCTTACAAGAACAAATAAATTCTCTTACACCACTGTTAGCACTCAACCCCCGCTCATCGAATGTTTTGTACGTCATTCTTTATTGCTTTCAGTAAATATCGTCTATATACATATTGTCTTCATTGATTACATCAGTTCTTCAAATATAAACCTATCAGTCAAATTGATTATATTCTATCATTTCCTTATCCACCAACCACATCATCCAATTCCTCCAAATAAAAATACGTGAAAAAACTTTTTTGATCGATAATGATCAATAAGCTAACTGATGATGATCAATAAATTCACCTGCATATTCCTGCATTTCCTGTATATCTTTAAGCCATGCTTGACGAATGAATTCAACTGATGGTGCATCCTTTGCACGAATTTTGAATTCTGGTAAGCCTAATTCATTCGGTTTCAATTCAAGTGTATTATCTTCACCTTCTAATTGTTTAACTGTATACTTGGGCAGCTGAAAGCAGATTGTGAATATCAATAATAAAAGATGATATAAATGAAAGTTGATTGAGCCATAAAAATAGAGCTGAAACAAGCAACGAAGACAAATATTGGCAGTAACGAACCCTGATTGTTGCATAATGCTTGTAGGTGACTGCATCTGCACTCTCATTTCTGTCAGTAATCATCAATTTATTTTTGAATAAAAATATATATCGCTCTGTAGCCTGTTGCTCACCTTCACCTTCCCAAACCAGGAAACGATCCTTAATTTTGAACCGTGTATTTCATACTTATTCGAAACGGTTTATAATTGAAACGACCTTGCAGCATAGCATACTTACAATGAGAAAGTGCTGACGTTAGAAAATTAGATGTGCTGAGAAACGAAAGTCATGTACATTGAAATATCGACTGAAATTTTTTTACTTTACGGTTGAACAACTGAAATCGCTAACGACAATTATGCACCCACTCTCTGATCTGCCATGTGATAATTATTTTAAAAGTATTTTGAATTTCTGAAGTCTATAAAATAGACGAAAATTCAGCTTACATGTCTGTAAAGTCGACCAAGTCTGTTTGTATCGCCCGGATATTGTTGGATATTATTAATGAATTCCATATCTTTGGCTCGTTGTGGAACAGATAATGTTAGTTCCAATGCTTTTTGCATACTTTTTGTGCTCAATTTTGCTCTTGCTGAATACTTGACAAATTCCTTGAAAAAAAAATTTTTTGCCGATAAAAATATGACAAGTACTTTGAATCAACGGAACGAAAAATTCCAAAAGTAGTGAATAAATAATTGATTAATAATGTTTCAAAGAAACAATCGTATCAAAGCAATGAGAAACCTTGAAATAATTCTGGTATTGTATCATTCGATCTGCAGTAGACTTAAGATAATCTTCATATGTTTTAACACCGGCATCAATTTTATCGCTGAGTTCCTAAAAAGTTGGAGAAACGAAATAGGATCGGCATGATTATTTTAGTAAGGCATGATTATTAGCTGATCTACTATAAGAAATAAGAACAAGTAGTAGTGTAAGATCGTGGGTACTTGGCACCAATCAACAACTACTTATGCACAATGAGTTTGCCTGCTGGAAGTTTGAAGCTTGAGTGTGATTGCTGATAAACTTGAAAACGGATGTGCAACATTTAAAGACAACTGGATGTTGACTTAAAGAGATGCGTTTTGAACGGGGATCATTAATTCTAGTCAAGAAAAGACGACTGTAGATGATGCAATTCATTCTCACAAAAATCCTGTAGCATATGATATGACGCAATTGAAAATAAGTGCATACTTCGCTCCAACAAGTGAAAAGTGAGAGGACGAGGAAGCCATCCCTTCCAGAACTGGCGAGGAAGCATTTGGAGCGCCCATACTCGTTTTTGTTTGAATTAGTCGGTTGAGTTAAAATTCAACAAGTTTCCCTCCTTCCCTAATGCCTAAGACTTTGCATAATCGTAATAGTGAGGTCAAGCCTCAGCCTGAGACTAATTTATGCTGATGAGACTAAACACACTTCGTTTAAGCTAACTTACATGGCTGACTGGCTTTTATCTGTTGCCCAGTTATTCTCCCATTACACATTGAATTCTTCAAACCTTACTCATCACCTAATATTTCTTGCTGTTTATAACAATTTTCATTATCATATCGTTATAGTTTTAGCAATAAATTCGAAAATTTTATTCAATTATTCGCTGCAATTAGCAATAGAGAATTTATCGGTATGCCACAAAAACTGTGTATAGCAAAGTTAGTGTCAAATCACAGTAAATTACAGTCAGCATCAAATTACAAGATTCATTTCTTTCACAACTCATCGACTTTCTTAAAGTCACTACAATAAATAAACCTAAAAATTGATAGATCTTAAGAGCTGTTTGAATATCTGGTATGGCCACGATCATGCTTTTTTCTTAATGGCAATTTTGTTAAGGTGTAACTAATTCAATGCGAACTTTTACGTATGAAAGGTAACACTCGTAACTATTCTGTTTCCAAAAAGATTAAAGTTGTCAGAAAGGAACCACATCATAACGAAGGATGAACAGTCATTAGCTGAATATTATAAGACAATACAGGAGGCTTCAAAGATGCAAAACTTTCATTAAAGCACCTTTACCATCCCAATTTTAATGATCAAAAGTCAACGCGGAAGCCATATGATAATTATGCGTCAAACCCATAAAACGGATGGGGCCTGAGTTGCGGCAGATTCCGCAAAACAGCCCCTCCTCCAGCTTTAGTGAAGGATTATCAGGATCCTCGTCTCGTTCCCCCTACCCTAACTTTACGATTGAGTAAATATTCTTAGGCGATGCACGCATCACTAAAAATTCGATTGCAGATTCATTATGGGGATCATATTTCTAGTTCGAATATCAATTCACATTTCTAAACTAATTTTGTGATCGGCATATGTCGCTAGCCAGCTATCTGTCATTAATAATATACGCATCTAATATAAACCATAATGAACACTGTACTAATGAAAACTTCATTGAGGTCACTCTAAAAACCGCATGTACCATGGATTGCTCATGAATAAAATCAATGATCTACTTTATATAGACATACGACACAATTCATAATATGATATTTCAAGTTATTGAGATGAACGAATGTATGATATACTTATAAAGGTAACCTTCGTTCAAACAATTACGATGGGAATGCTACACTGCGGATAATACTAATGAAAGAATTCACAATAATAAAAAGCATTAAAGAATTCACGACAGAGCAATAAATATATCAAATGATAACGAGACCATGTAAACTGCGGAAGATAATGAAGATTTAAATTATGATGTGGATGTGATTTTGACCAACGAATTATTTCCATATTAGCAAGCGAGTGAAGTAGATGCATTACAAAAGCTGGCATAAGGAGGAAAATGCTTGCAGGAAATGAATGAGCGAAACCATATTTCATGAATAATAAAGATGAATAATGCGTGGAACATTCCAAAAATGTTGCAAAGGTTTTACTAAGTTCAGTCTCAAACTGAATGGCATAGTTGGTTTCGGAACATAACCAGAAACGAGTAATTCGTTAATTATTCCAGTCTCACAAAACTGTAGGAGCGATTACCTCTAGAACTTCGAGGTGGTCCTTTCATTCAGAATTTAACAGACATTATGTACATAGTTCGGAACATAGCTTTCTACCCTCATCACTCACATTAGAGTTCTACAATCTCGAAAAACAGATCCGAAATGAACTGCTACAGAAATATTAAAACCTCCATATTCAAGCCACAGTGACCTTCATTCTTGCCAGCAGTATAATAGTTTCTTCGTGTAAGATGATAGAATAGCTTCTCTACTATCAGAAAACTTTATGCGATCTTGAAGGATTCTGTTTACCTTCGGAGACAGAGTAATTTAATCGTCGGCAGGATGGAAAGATTTGATAGGTCGACTAAACCAGGTGATCCAGATATTTCGCTTTCTGATTTCAAAGATCTTTAGAGTACGTTTACAGAAAATCAGTCATTTTCACCAAGTTTTCAAATGATTGCATTGATATGTTGACTGAACCTTTCACCCTACTGCACATCTCAAGTGAAGGATTTCTAAATTTCGTTGCGTAATCAGTAAAGATGATATTTTCCTCAACTATTGTGAAGAGATATGAGTGTGTAAGGAGTTTCCGAATATAGGAGGAATTCGATTATCTCATTATTAACTCCAAACAATTCCGACTGTTGGCTACGACACTCACCCGCATTGCCGTAATTTATTTTTAACTTCACTTTCTTTTCCATAATTGCTTTCGCACGAAAACCGCATGAAACGTTACATAATCGTCAGTAACCCTACCATGAGTTACTACTAGCCTCGTCGGAACCGATTTCACCTTTATCATGTACATAAGAACGGTTTTTTGAGTGCTCCTGAAGAGAACATCAACAACAAAAACCATTAACTTCACCAAATAGCACTGGCATGCTCTGGCGCTTCAATGAATTACCGAACCAAAATTAGATATACACCAGTTATGAATCTGACCGTGCATCTCCACTGCTAGGAACTTCGCTAAACGGTCTCAATAAATTTTGACTGAACATTAAAGAGCAGTAAGAGGTGAGCAAAATGCGATAACATTCAAATATTTTATACAAAATAAGCGAACAGTCATGATGAAAGATAGCATATTAATTTATCAGATCAGCAACTAGTGCGAATTATAAATACCAGAGTATGTAGATGATTGAAAGTTGAACTGGTAGATAAAGCATTAGGATAGTAACGCACATGATGGTCGTGAAATAGGCCAATTCAATTAATGTCATTTGAAAAACAACTGAACAATACAATTTTGAAAAATATACACCATTCGAGTACTTACATTGATAAGTTCCTACTATCATTCAAATCAACCACCAGTGCGGATAAATTTTCGCTGCTTGTTTTCATGAAAGTGATAATAAGAACAAAATAATTAACGCTAAGGAAAGATCATTTCAAAATACCAAAATAATTAATGCTAAAAAAGATCATTGCAGCACAGAGAAATGAAATAAAGCAAGAGAAAGAGATGCATAAAAATAGATGAACAATGATTCAATAGAATGCAATGGAAGAGATGAATCACAGATGTGAAAAAGCGACAATAATAATGATAGAATGAAGATAACACATCAAAAAATATCAATCCACGGTTTAGTGATCAACTGCTACATCAAAAGTTTCGTCTTCATAAAGGCATTTTTCGGCTGGCTCGTTTACCGTTAATGAAAGGCATCTGTTGAATAAGAACACATTAAATCACTGAAATAGGATACACCATTTAAAATGTGGCATTGATTAGAACTGTTTAAATATCTATTTGCAATATTAACAACAACAATAAAACTTTTCAAGAGTTACTTTTTTTCAAAGAAATAACTCATCGATCCTCACTGAGTTGGAAGATGATCACTTGGAAATGACTGCGGCATGAAGGGATGCGTTTTTAGTTCCTCTTTACTTCTGCAAAATTCGGTTCCATCAATGAATGCTGTTAACACAAACTAATTCAAAATGTTTACTTCTGAACCTATTAGGGCCACTTCAGCAATTCCCTCTTCCAATTTTCACAAGATTCGTACCTGCTAAACAGTAAGTGGGACTGGAACGTTATATGTAACCACCTACAGATGCAATTAGCACACATCTCTCTATCAAAAAATCTGAAGCTCTAGTCACAAACATGAAAATTCCCCAAATGATCCGTAACAATACAATTATGCACCAGACAGCAGAAATGTTCGCTTCATGCAAAGCCAACCTATTAGAAATGTTACTTTTACTTCTTCATTACTATAGAATTAGAATACTCCACAAAAACATAAAATAAGTATCAAATCTTACGTGGGAACAGTTTTTTCTTCTTCTCGCCTTTTAAGACAAGCTGCTTTTGGATTCAAATTCCTTTGTCGAACCTATAAATATTTTTTGAATTTATAACTAAATGATTACCACAGACACCTTCTTTCTTATGTGTAAAAAACGATGCAAAAAATATGACACTAGATCAATGCTTTTCATTCCCTTCCCCTGGAAAAGTCATCGCACCCCCACAACAAAAGCTAAAATGTCCTCATACGCCTAACAACACCCACTTCGTATCTCTTATCCACTACGGCCAGTGTCTGCAACATAGATAAGTGTATATCGTTAGAGTAAGTTCTAGCTTTTTCAAAAATACATACGTTAGAGTCCACCCTTGCTTATTTTATACAAACGTAAGCGTTGACATTCGCCCTCGTCTACTTTAATGTACAAAAAATGAAATGTTATCTCGCAACCCCGCAATACTATGCCGCATCCCCGGCTGAGAAACCCTGCATTAAACCGTATTGATAAGCGAAAACTGTATTTAGAACGAGTGCGTCGTGTGTGGTCGACTAGAGATTTTTTTGAAAAAAGATCGGTATGAAAAATTCCTTCAACGATTAACTAGAGCGCGACATAGGAAAAGTATCGAATGCTATCAAGAGATGATGCAATAAAATAACAATGATAAGTAACTAATATGCTAGCCTGCTCTTCGAGTCCTGTTATGACCGCAACTGCCTGATGTAAAACACCCAATTTTGTTTGAGTTTTATCAGCTCCTTGTTGCATATGTTGTGCGCACATTTTCCCCAATTCTTTGAACGCCATATTGATATCTTTCACTCGAATTCTTAAAAGAGTGTTTCCAACAAGATAATTAAACAAGTAAATTGAATTATCAACAATTCACATAAACTCATGTATTGCGCTCACATTGCATACTTTTTCGACTAACACCCAAATACTGGTTAAAATATCCTTATAACGTATAGGTAATAAAAAGCAATTGAAACACCTTTCTCTAGCATTATTCGCCGATCGTCGATCAGCTTCTCTGTCTTCGTTCGATCTAGCATCGTCATCAGAATCAAGTTTAACACTTTTGGAACGTTTCTTCGAGCTCATCCTCGATGAAGTGCTGCTGTTACTACTCATGCCACCACCAATGATTGACGATGAAGAAGGCATATTAGTGGGTGTAGTCGAATTCAAGTTACTTATCATATTGTAATCAACGAAGTGCTCACGAGATGACACTCCCGCTGCAGCCACTGCAGCTACATGTTGTTGCATGGCATTAGCTGTCGCTGTCAGGTTGGTCGTTGTCGAAGGTGACATTGGTAAACCTTTATTATTTTGCTTATCATTACACATAATTTCATTTAATGTTTCAAAAAAAGTACAGATAAATGCACGTTTAATCCAAATACTTACCACCATACGCATCAATAGCAGAAGGGATAGCTGCTTGTGGCTGTACCGCACTTGCATCGTCTACTGTAGTACTTGTATTCTGAATGAAAAAAAAAACACCAGTTGTTTAAAAAAGGCACAAATAAATGAATAAATAAATAATAATAAACAGCTGCTTGTGTTCAATCAATCAGCGACTGAATGTTTATGATTTAAAAAACTACATAAATCATCGATAGTATGAAAAGAGGAAGCATTTTATGTGATGAATACAATATAGTGTATTTATAAAATGAGGAAGGTCGTTGCGAATCAATGACAGACAAACAGCAAATGATAATCCACAAATAGAAAGCTGAATATCAATGGAGAAATGAAAAGACGTTGCAAACACACATAATAATGCCTGCCTTTCATTTATTCCACTTGCTTCTTGCTCAACTAGAGCAGATGGTCAAAAGAGCATAACCTAGAATCGCACTCATAACCAAATCGATTCATTGTTTACTTATAGATTGTATGACCATATCCCTATCCTTATACATATATACACAACCATCTATCTATCTCACTGCTTATTTCTGCTTTCATTCCTCTATTCATCTTATGCTGACAAATGGTGCAACAGATGCGTTTATTAATGTCTTATTTAGCGTATCGTC